ACTGAGGGAGTGACTACTTCCTAAGACTCACACCCCAACCCCTGAGTCTGTCTATCCAAGATGCTCCACTTTAAGGGAAAAGTTTGCCAATTTAGATGATTATTTGCATTTATTGACTTAATGAAAAACAAATGCTATTATTGTCTTGACTACTCTATGTGAACTCTTGGGGTTTTGATGATCCAAGAAAGAAGGACACCACCTACACAGACCAAATATCTATGAAGCATTACTGATTTATTTTGAAAATTACATCATATTTATTTTGTGGACATGTGTATACATGTATAGTTTGTGTGTGTCAGGGGATGCATGCCACATGCCTCATATGTGGAGATTCTCTCTGTCCACCAGATCATAAGGGTTGGAATCAGGTGGCTTTACCAGCTGAGCTATCTTGCTAGTCCTATGTATTTATTTTGTATGGATTTTGAGACAGGTTCTTACTATGTAACCCAGGCTGACCTTGAACTTGCAATCTTCCTGTCTCTACCTCCTGAGTGCCAGGATTAATTGGGCATATACTGCCACACCCCTATGACTGTTGAACTTTAAAAACCGAACATAAGAGAACTCTTTCTTCCTCTTTTAAGAATGTGTATATTTAATTTTGAGTCAGGGCTTCACTGTTGCCCTGGCTGTCCTTGAACTCCACATAGACCAGGCTGGCCTCAACTTCACGAAGAACTGTTAGGATTAAGCCATCTAGCCCAGGTAAAATCTTTGGCAACCCATAAGAAGGAACAGACTTGAGGGAGGAGGGAAGGGTCCTCTGGTGGTGTCCTACTTGCTGAATCCATCATCTCTGCTCAGTCAGCCAGGAAATTGCTCCTTTTTGCTTAAAGCCAACTTGAATTCAATTTGTCACTTGCAACCAGCAGCATCCTGACTAATACACCACCAGATTAATATCAGTAATATTTCAAGAATTAGCAAGAATACAACAAAACAAGAAGATTGAATTTGACATTGGTTCTTCGATTACAAAGATTAAGTTAGAGAGGCTGGAGAGATGACTCAATATTTTAGGAGCACTGGTTGCTTCTTTCGAAGACCCTAGGTTCACTCCCCATCACCCACAAGGTAGCTCATAACTCTCTGTAGCTCCAATTCCAGGGGGTCTGGGACCTTCACAGACATACATGCAGGCAAACCACCAATGCACATAAGATAAAAATAAATAAATCTCTAAAAAAATCCTAGAGTGTTCATTTAATGGACATATATAATCTAACATGAACCAAATGTTCTGTGTTAGATGCTGGAAATGTAAGATCAGAGATCAAGCAAACAGGGGAGGAGAGATGGCTCAGTGGGGGGAAGTACTTTTCGTTAAGCCTGACTGACCTCCGTCCCTGAGACCCACATGATAGAAAGAGAGAATGACTCCTAAAACGCATCCTCCAAACGCCACACCTGCACCTCAGCATAAATAGATAAATAGAACTTACAAACACAAACTAAAAGAGGCAAGCACAAACAATAGCAACAACAACAAAAGTCCTTCTAGGAACTCCTAGTCTAGCTGAAGGGAAAGAAAAGGATGAGAGTCTGGAGAGTTCACTCAGTGGTTAAGAGCACTGGCTGGTCTTCCAAAGGACCCTGGTTCAATGCCTGATACCCACGTGACAGCTCACAACTGCCTGTAACTTCAGCACCCTCAAGCAGACAGACATTCGGGCAAAATGCCTTTAAAGAAAGGATCAACTGGTATGGCTGTGGTGAGCCCACAGAAGGGACAAGTGGTGACTGGCTAAAGCAAGTTTGTCACAGTGTTGGAAGGGAAAAGCAGGGCTTTGAAAGACATTCTAATAATCCCAGTACTTGGGAGGCAGAGGCAGGCGGATTTCTGAGTTTGAGGCCAGCCTGGTCTACAGAGTGAGTTCCAGGACAGCCAGGGCTACACAGAGAAACCCTGTCTAAAAAAACAAAACAAAACAAAACAAACAAACAAAGGCATTCTATCTGGATAGCACTTGCCAGATGGGCTGAGTGGGGAGGACTAGCAAGGTAAACCTGGGCCACAACCAACAATACATTATGACTTGTGTGTGCTTCCAGAGGGTGATCTGATAGTGGGATGAGAGAGGGGGCAGAAAAGGAGTTTGGAAGGGGTGGGTAGCAAAAGCTTTGGGAAGCCATCAAAGTATTTTATGCTGGGGGGGGCAACACGGTACATACTTCAAATATTATTTTTTTTTTCAAGACAGGGTTTCTCTGTATAGCCTTGGCTGTCCTGGAACTCACTCTGTAGACCAGGCTGGCCTCGAACTCAGAAATCCACCTCTCTCTGCCTCCCAGGTGCTGGGATTAAAGGTGTGTGCCACCACTGCCCGGCTTTAAATATTATTCTATTAAATAGGCACGAGAATAGCTTGTGAGGTCGTTGTGAAAATTGCATACAAGTTAAGTTGATTAGATGCTTAAAAATGGCTAAGCCAAAAATCCACCTTATTCTGTTCCAAACACTATTAAAAACTCAGAACAGAACATCCATTAGTAGGTGGGATTATGGGAAATTCATGCCAGAGGTGTAGACTTACTTTAAGGAATCTCAAAGTGTCTTCAATAACATAGTCTGATTCAGGTTAGGGTTGGGGACATGGCTCAATTGGTAGTTTGTTTGCCCAGTGTGTTCAAATCACTAGATTTGCTCTCTAACACCTACGTAAACCAGGGATGGTGGGCCAGATTGTATTCACGGCACAGGAGTTGGGGGCAGAAGGGTAACAATTTGAAGGCCATCCCCAGCTATATAACAAATTCAAGGGCAGTCAGGGCTGTGTGAGGCTTCATCTTAAAAATAAAATCAAACACGCAAACAAAAGCCTAAACTCTAAGTTAGTCTGTAGTGAGCTGGACCATTCTGGTTCCCTCTAAACTAGGACATTTCAAATTGAGACAAACCTTTCAAGATCATTCTAGAACTAGAAGAACACTATTGGTCATACGGTTTCCAAAAGCCTCCGAATAAAGTCTAAAGCATCCTACGATCCACACAACAATTGGGTCCTAAGTTAGTTTTAGTTTAATACATATTTTTGAAGTAAAAACTAATTTTAAAGAATGCTTCTCCTGGGTCACAAGGAGAATAAGAAGGAAAAATATTTTGTTGTAGCATAAAATATCAAATCAATTTCTCTCTCTCTCTTGTTAAAGCAAAGGCTGAGAGGAGACGTGGGGAACAAGTTCACTTCAGGCTACCAAAGCATTGCAAGATTTCTCTGGTGCGATAGGTCACTGGGTTATGCAGCGAATTTCACCGTCTTACTATACCAAGGGTCTCCTTAGGCCATTATCTAGGCTAGTGGTTTAGAAATTTTAAGGACAACAGAAAAATAACTTGGGGCAGCATGATTATTTAAAATTAAAATCTTTGGAGATGGATCAGTGGACTAAGCCACTTGTAGTGAATCCTGCCGTCCTGAGTTTGTTCCTCAGACCCCACGTGGTGTGTGGGAGGAGGGAACGGACTCCGGCAAGATGTCCTCTGACCTCTGCAAGCCAAGCATGGCGCGTGCACAAGGTCTGCTGTGTGTCCGCGTGTTTGAACAGGCTCACAACAAGCACCTACCGGAATACACACATGCGGTCACGCATAAATGTAAATTTCGGAAACAACAAGTAGAGTTGGTGACGTAGAGGAAAAGGGAAAACAAGAGAATAAGGTGTTTTTAAAGCTATTTTGAATGTAACAAATGAGCTTGAGATCATAGTGCAATTCATTTCCTGCTAAGGGAAGATGTGGCTGAAGCCATCAGGCTAAATATATAAGATATGTATTTACATGAATCCAGAATCCAAAGGAAATGAAAGGCTAGATGGAGCAGTTTTATGTTCCTGGACACCTTTTCTGTTTCTACATATTTGAAATTTTGATTCCTTAGAGTAAATTATTCCCCCTTACCCATTATAAAATGTTATTGATAACGTTTCCTCTTTATCTTAAAAATGTAACAATTATATTATTATAATTATATATTATTATTTATGTTCTATAAAGTGAACTATTTATCCAAGAAGTTAACTCTGTTTCCAGATGTCAGCTTCCTGTGAAGCTGTGTCCCACCAAAGTCCCTAGATTACCCTTTAATAAAAAAGATTTAAAATAGAGCTTTTGATAACATCACCAATCATACATATCATGTTCACAGCAGCTGAATTTTATTCTAACCATGGCTGAGTTTCAGCTCACTGAGCTTCCAACCTTAAGACAAGAATAATGAGAATGGCGGCCTAGTTCATGGCTGTTAGGGTCAGTTAAACAGGTTACACAAAACGTGCTTCCCGTGACCTGTGCTGCGCGCACAGTAGGAACTGTTATTTTTCATGCACTTTCATTATTGTTTTAAAACATGGAGCTTTTCTCAGCATAAACTCTGGCTTCTGAAATACCCTATTTTAAAGACCTCTCCCCCAGCAGGGCCTATTCTTCTCATGTTTTATACTGTTGGTTTCATTTAGCTCCCAAAACATGTTATTCCACCTGTTTTGATAATGGGACCCGTGTAAATGCCAAATGTGAGCTGTAAATCACTTCATTTTCTGTATTTAACATGCACAGGTGAGCTGCCAGCAATCCGCCTTGCTACGGCTAAGTACCCCGAAGCACAGGAGCACCAAATCCATATTAAAGTGATTGTGCACTAACATTATTCTGCTATCCGGAGATATTCTCAGAAAAACACAGTCTCTATAAAGTGCTGCTTTCCCACAGAATAAAGCTAGACTCCCACGCTCACATTCAACTACGTAACTGTATATTTAAAAAATGGCCTTAAAGAGCAGCTGTGAAGGAAACTGATTAAATCAATATATTAGTACCAACGCTGGAAGATGAGAGACATCTGACTTTAAATATAAAATTGGAGGACAGAATTTGTAAGTTAGCCTGAACTTAGTGGTGTTGGGTTTTGGCAAACTACCCCTTTAAAAGAATGTTTCTTTTAACCCCCAATCCCCTGTTCTGAAGTTCTTGTGAGAAGCCGGCTGTACAGTACCTTGATCAGGTTGTGTCCCACAGTGTAGACAGCTGTTAAATTTCCCTTCTCTCCTGGTGCATGCATACCTGTGCCAAACCCATGCCAAGCAACGAGGTAAGGGTTATGAATTGTAATCCAATATTTGACACGGTCTCCAAAGGTCTGGAAGCAGTATGTGGCATAGTCATTGAAGAGATCAATCATAGATGCATTTTTCCAGCCCCCATATTCTTCCTGTAGCGTCAAAGGCAAATCCCAATGGTACAAGGTAACAATCGGTTCTATATTCCTAAGTACCAGCGAGTCCAGAAGTGCACTGTAGTATTGGAGACCTTTTGCATTCACGGCCGCTACTGTTCCATTGGGAAACAAGCGTGGCCAGGAGATTGAGAACTGATAAAAAGAAACTCCTAAAAAATCCAGAGCCAACAAATCTTTTTCCAGAAAGACATAACTGTCAGTGGATCTGTCTGTGCTGTTGACACCTCTCAGGTGTGAGTAGACGTAACGATCCCAGATCGAGGGTCCTCTCCCATCTGTCTTCCAACTCCCTTCCACTTGAAATGCTCCGGTCCCAACGCCCCAGGAAAAGTTTTTAGGGAAAGTGTCATAGAGGAACAGCTGACTTGGGTTTACCGGACTCACGTACTGTTTTTTATCCCATATTGCTTTCCCGTCTCCAGAGAAGCCGGTCACAGCTCGCAGCAGAACAAACGCAGACAGCACGGCAGATCTTTGCAGTGCCCTGTTGGACATTGTTTTCCTAGAGCGTGTGTTTCTTTCATCAGAGCTGAAGAAAATCCATTCATTCCCCGGAGACCCTGCTGCACAGCCTGTCTTCATTTGCCACTAACTGCTGGACTGTCTTTATCAGCGCTCCAGTAAAAGCCTGTGATTGTAAAGCCCTGTCAATGATTAGCCTGGACCGGGAGACTTAGGATGGGTCATGAGAGCCACGCAATTTGAGGGAGGTGGCCTCGTTGCTGTCAACAACATGTGTCGTCTTCTTGGGATGAGAAAAATCCGACGGGTGAAAATGCATCGCGGACACTAGTTTAAATGTGTTAAACAAACGTGTGGAAACCGTGCCTGAGAATGGCGTTTTCTGTATAGCCTTTCACACGGCCGAAGATCTTTTCTGAATGTTTTGAACTTTATTGAATAAGGGATCTACTTTTCTATTTTTAGAGTTTGAGTGGTAATTTTATCATCTCCCATTTTAGGAACAGCAGTTTTACGAACAACTCAATAGCCAGAAGTAAATAATTAAAAGCAGGATATTACACTCCAACCAAAACTGTACACACATCAGGATAGTTTTGATGTTATCTATTTCAAGAAAACTTAGTTGGGCACGGTGGCTCATGCCTATAATTCCTGCATTTGGGAGGCTGGAGCAGGAGGATTGCTGAGTTTTAAGTTCAGTTATGTAACTGAAAGCCTTAACGGCTACAGAGCAAGACTCCATTTAAAGACCCTAAAACCAAACCAAGTAGCCAGATGCTTTGTGATCCACCTTTGGAGGTAGAATCAAGAGGAACAGAAGTTCAAAGTTGTACTTAGCTACACAGGAAATCTGAAGTCAGCCTGGGGTAACATGTCATTGTTTGAGTTTGAAGACTTGTTGGGTAGGGCCTATGAGTTTAATCTCTTTTGGCCGTACTAGAGATCAAACCTAGGTCTTGTGGATGCTAAGAAAATTCTCTACCCACTGGGCTACATCTCCAATTCTCTTTTTAATTTTATTTTAAAACTGGGGTGCAATAAGCTACTCACGAACTTGATATGTAGCAAGCTGGCCTTGAACTTGTGGCAATTCCCCAGCCTCAGCCCTGCATCACCAGGCCCAGCAGGATACTTAAACTTTTTTTCTCTTTTAAGCACAGTCTCACTACAAAGCCCTGTCTGACCCAGGACTCAATTCTGCACTACGGCTTCCTGTTACATAGAAGTAGTGTACATTGGGTGTGTGATGTGTATATCTTTAATCTCAGCATTTGGCAGGCAGAAGTGGGTGGTCTACACAATGGTTCCAGGCCAGCCAGACCTACATAGTGAGACCCAGTCTCAAAAACAATAACAAAATAAAACAAAACAAAAAAACTGGAGAAGTATAATAAGGATATATTTATGAATTATTATGAGGTAGAGTTACCACATGTAAGGCACTTAGACTAGAGATTAACACATAAATGCTCAATGAATTTAAAATTTTTTTTTTTCGAGACAGGGTTTCTCTGTGTAGCCCTGGCTGTCCTGGAACTCACTCTGTAGACCAGGCTGGCCTCGAACTCAGAGATCCTCCTGCCTCTGCCTCCCAAGTGCTGGGATCAAAGGCATGTGTCACCACCACCCGGCTCAATGAATTTAAATTAAAAATATTCTGAGAATATTAAAAATATTCTTAGTGTAGTTAGTAGTAGACTGTGTCTTGAAGGTGAATTGAATAGCTGAGTTAACCAGTGTGATTGAACAAATCAGGAATGAATCAGATAGTATCCAACTGTCTAGGAAGCAACCAATAAAACTGAAAGTCTAGAGGTGATCATGATAGTTTATGTAAAAAAAAAAAAATCTCAAACGGAATCAACTGAAAATCCTGGTACTAATGAACAACTGTATCAAGGTTGTTAAATGAAGGGTAATGTAGAAAAAGCCAGTTAATTGCTTTCTTGTATACCAGCAATAAAACTTAAAATTTGACATTGGAAAGACTCTATTGGGGTTGGGGATATGGTTTAGGGGGTAAAAGCATTTCCTGTGCAGGCCTGAAGTCCTGAGTTCAAATTCCCAGTACACATGAAAAAAAAAAAAAAAAAAGAAAGAAAGCTCAACTTGGGGCCTGCTGCCGTGGTACATCTTTAATTCCAGGGCTGGAGGCAGAGGCAGGCAGATCTCTGTGAACTTTAGGTCTGCCTGGTCTACGTAGTGAGTTCTGGGCTAGTGAGTGTCATATAGTGAGACCCTGAGTTTTGTTTTGTTTTGTTTTTTTAAGTTTGATACGGCCACAGGTGTCTGTAGCTCCCATGTTGGGGGAGTAAAGACAGACAAAATTTGTTTTCTCCACACACAAGAATGCTTTGTTAGTACAATATACACAAACTATAAAGAAATAAGTTTAAAATTCTAAATCATGTCAGTGTCTAGAGAACGATGGAAGGAGACTGCCGGGTTGACTCCCAAGGCAGAAAGGGCATTCAATTCCAGGGGGCAGCAGCTTCTCAAACCCTGATGTCATCAAGATCCGGAGAAGCATTCATTCTAGAAAGTGTGCGCAACCTGTTGTTCTCTTCAGAGACTCAGAGACTCAAAATTTAGAGGCCTGAAAGGAAAGGACATTTCTATTTCTACACAGATGTCATCAGAGGCAGAAACAGATTCAGTAACCCCCTAGCCCCGCCCAGCCCCAACTAGCTCCGCCCAGCCCCGCCCAGTCCCCGCCCAGCCCGGATGGATTCAGGTTCAGTGAGAAGCCCAGACTCAAATGAATAAGGTAGAGTAACAGAGCAGGACAACCTTCTTCCTGAGTCCTCTGCATGAGAAGGCATGAATGTGAGTACTCCTATATATGTTGTTCATGGACACAAACATACCATGTACACAAAGTAAATTAGTTAGGTTACATTTTTAAAAAGACAGTACCAGGGCTGGCGATGTAGCTCAGTTGGTAGAGTTCTTGCTTAGCATGCTTAAAGCCCTGGGTTTAATTCTTAGTGCTGTATAAACTAAACAGTGGTGCATGGTTGTAATCTCGGCACTTGAGTAGTGGAAGCAAGAAGATCAGAAGTTCAAGGCCTGGGGCTGGAGAGAAGGCTCAGCAGTTAAGAGCACTGACCTCTCTTTCAGAGGTCCTGAGTTCAATTCCCAGCAACCACATACGTGGTAGCACACAACCATCTGTAATGGGATCCGATGCCCTCTTCTGGCATGTAGGCATATATGCAGATAAAACCAGTCATATACATATAAAATATATTTTTAAAAAATCTTAAAAAAAAAAAAAAGACATCCAAGGCCATTCTCTGCTACCTAGTGAGTGTGAAACAAGCTTGAGTTACATGAAACTCTGTCTTAGAATAAAATAAAATCTTCAAAAAATAAATTGGCCTGGGGAGATGGCTCAGTAGCTAACTGTTTGTCGTGTAGGCAGCAAGATTGAGGACCAGAGTTTGGACTCCCAGAACTCACATAAATGCCAGGTGGGCATGGTAGTCCCCTGAAGTTACAATACTTTCGAGGTGGAGATTAGGGGAAACCACTGGAGCAAGCTGGTTAGCTAAGGCTAGTGAAGACTGAGGAAGACTGCTGTGGCCAGTCTCAGGCACACACACACACACACACACACCCCATACACATACACATGTGAAAAGAAGAAAATTCTGTTTGCATTAGCTTATTAGAATTTTCCTAAAATTACTCTTCCTTATAGATGAATCTTAAATAAAAAACAAAGTGAAATCACTGGGCAGTGGTGGCGAATGCCTTTAATCCCAGCACTTGGGAGGCAGAGACAGGCGGATTTCTGAGTTCGAGGCCAGCCTGGTCTACAGAGTGAGTTCCAGGACAATCAGAACTACACAGAGAAACCCTGTCTCGAACAAAACAAAACAAAAAACAAAACAAAAAACAAAACAAAACAAAACAAAAAAACAAAAAAAAGAAGTAACAAGCTAGATGCGGTGGGGAGTTCTTGTAATCCCAGCACTTGGCGGCTGGAGGCAGGAGAATCAGGAGTTGAAGCTCATCCTCAGATACATGGCCAGGCTGAGCTAAAGTGAGACTTGTTTCAAAAACAACAAGATCTATATAAATGAAGATAGTCCAGATACATGGATTAAAATAAAGAAATACATGTGTTATAATTTTTTCTGCTATGTTTTTTCAGGCACTAGAGATGGAGTTTTGTTGTTGAGTGCTTGCCTTGCCTCTCTAAGTCCTGGGTTTGATCCCCAACGCTCAGTAAGCTGAGGTTGGTGCTACACAGTGAGTTTTAGGCCAACCTGGGCTAAATGAGACCCTACCTCAAAACAAATAAATCAAACCAAAACCAAAACAATAACTCCCACAACAACAGCACAACAAAATAGCCAATTTTCTATGGAATTTGATTTACAGACTCAATAAAATCTCAGTAAAAACCCAGACAGTAAACACTAACACTTACACCCAAACTTTTTATTATCCCTAGCTGACACTCTTTAGCCAGTAATTCCTGCCCACCTCCAATTCTTCCAGCCCCTGGCAACCATCGTTCTATGTTTATAAATTTGACCACTCCATGAACTTTATATTAGCAGGATAATGGGGCACTTTCCCTTTGTGTCTAGTTTATTTAATTTAGCATGAGCCCAGAGTTGATGCATGGTGGTTGTCACTTCTGCTGCCGCTGTTAAGATAGACTTTCTATGTTGCCCAGACTGGCATCAAATTCCTTGACTCAGGCAGTCCTCCTGCCTCAGCTCTAGAGTGTCTGGGAAGCTGGGACTATTGAGGCAGGAAACTGTGCTTAGCTCTCGTTTTTAAAAGTTTGTTTTTGAGATGAGGTCATGATATTAGCCCAGGGTAATATCTAGACTCAAATTAGGAGCTCTTTATATCAATAAAACAGTAAACCCTTTGTGTGTACGTGCATTTGAAGGCCAAAGAACCATTTAACAGAGGTATCTATATAAAAGCATAAAGTCGGGTGTGATTTTTTTTTTTTAAAGATTTATTTATTTTATTTATGAGTACACTGTAGCTGTCTTCAGACACACCAGAAGAGGGCATCGAATCTCATTATGGGTGGTTGTGAGCCACCATGTGGTTGCTGGGATTTGAACTCAGGACCTCTGGAAGAGCAGT